TCCAAGACGTCCCGCTCATCCAGGCTCAAAACCACGTTGGTTTGGTCCAGAATACGGAGACTTTTCTTCCCCTTGCATGGGGGCAGCGTTCTTCCTAGGCTGTTGCGCTCCTGACAGGCCTGGCCAAGACTGCCACGGGGAATCCTCAGGGTCTTCTGGGGAGGCTTCTCCACTGTACACTCCTTCACAACCATGTAGAACCGCCAGTCCTCCCTGAAGCCCCCACTGGGCTTCTCCTGGCTCCACAGGGCAGAGCTCATGTCTGCATGCTAGGCAGAAGCTCCAATGTCAAGGCAACCTTGACCTGTGGTCTAAGAAGAAATGAGAAAAATGAGGAAAAACCCCCCACAAAACCCCCGCCTAGAACACTTAAGGTTTGACCTAAGAGAGTAAGTGTGTCCTAAGTGAAAGTGACAAGCTTACATTTCTGCAATGTAAATTAATGTGGTTAGACAGCTGCGGTTATGTGCTTTGATACCACAATAAGTTAAGCATTAATATAATTCATAACATTAACAATATTTCTAATCTAGAAATATTCCAAAACACAAATCAGAACTTAACTAACAAGCACAACTGCTCATTCTGTCTAAAAGTACACTTGAGCAAAAAACAAACAAACAAAAAACACACATTGGAACAGTTTCATTAATTAGATGCAAATAGATGTGTGATGAGCCATACTGAAATTAACCACGGCAAAACTCTGGCAAAACGGTCTTAACTGCACTGAGAGTTCAGAAAATCTGTGATCCAGTTCGCTTGTTTTGGTTTCTTCTGAGAGATTGATGTGCTCTTGTGTATTCTCCCTCATCTACATTCAGTAGACCAGTGATTTCTATTTAAAAATCAGCACTTTGTGTAACATTACTCACTACTACTTATTTCAATTTTCTAAAAATAGAGAGTGAGCAGACAGTTGACTTATTCTGACACTCTGGGTAAGACAGATACTAGTCGTGTGGATTTCCCCTGATCACACCTCAGATATGATTTTTCAACCACCTGACAGAGACAAGAGCACACAATACTTCTACATCCGTCAATTGTTTCAAGCATGACAGCAGCTGCTGAACTGCGACATTTACTCCGTCAATACGCTGTTGTTTTTAAGAGCCTGAGTAACGTTAGACCATTTTTACAAAATTTTGTAAGGCTAACGCCATACATGGCTAAAACCCAACACAGATTGAAAATGAAAGTAATTTCAAACTGACACGCGCTGACCTGCTGTGACATTGGGCTAGCGGGGTCTTTCAGATGACACCTACAAAGCGATATTATGACTTGCTTTAATCATCATTTTCCTTTGACAACATCAGCAGCGTGTCGCCGGGCAGAAGCTGTCAGTCAAAGGCCCTTTAAGAGAGGAAAGTGGCTAGCGTACAGTGAGCTAAAATGCACCAGACAGTCATTTACGTCCAGTGCCAACAACACGGACACCTTACCTTTGATATGCGTGAATTCGGTTAGTGGCTACAAATGGCTGTCATTTCGAAGTCCATTCCAGTTAGACAAATGCTTCTGAAAACAGGTTAGACTGCTCCCGTAATAACCTCTGATTAGCTAAATGGACAGCTAATGCTACTATCCTAACCAGCTAAGTATCACGCTAAAGTTAGCCTAGCGAGCCGGTCAACAGCAAGAAGGCTGGCAGAAGACTGCCACCTTCCTAAGTGTACTAAAAACATTTAAATACACCTATTCTCCACGAGAAATGTGTGAAATAATACAGTGTATCGCTACATCTATGAGATATATTATTTACAGGAGACGACCACACTAAACTTAATGTATGACGTCCTCGTGTTCGCTGACAGACATTGGTTAGTCGTTTCTTTCTAAAACGCTGATTCGCTGTTTGCTTTGTCAATAACCAAGTCCCGCTTTCTGGGGTTTTCCCACGGACGGCAGAAAGTGTAGTTAGGTTGGAGTGTGGCTTCCAAGGCAGATGATGCTCATCAGCTGCAGGCAGTTGAGAAATATTTATTTAAATAGAAGCAATTTTACACTATAATTATGAAATTAAAAAATGGGTATAAAATTAAATATGGCCTAGGAGTAAGAAGATTGACATTATTAATAGTAACATGTACTTAAGTATAAAATTGCTGGAGATCTGTCTGTGAAGGTTCTCAGTCTCAAGTGTTGGAGATCATTTGTAATTTTCTCAGTATAACCAAACGGGTTCATTATATGTTCTAAATTTTCTTCTTCTAAAAAGTGTCAAAGTTTTGCAAGACAATACAGCCTCTCCATTGTGGTCCTGTGAGATTTCTTCTTCTTCTTTGGGCTGCTCCCTTTAGGGGTTCTCTTCTCACAGTGGATCATCTGGCTCCATCTTACCTTATCCCTTGCATCTTGCTCTGTCACATCAACTCTTTGCATGTCCTCCTTCTATACATCCATGAATCTTCTCCTTAGTCTTCTTTTTTTACTCCTGCTTGACAGCTCCATCTTTGACATTCTTTGCACATGTTCATTATCTAAACTGGTCAACCCTGTGCTGTCCCTCTGATCTACTAATTTCTAATCTTGTCCATTCTGTTCTCCCCCAATGAAAATCTTAACATCTTCAGCTCTGCCCTCTGCCTTTTTGTCATTGCCACCATCTCCAAACCATACATAATAGCAGGTCTCACTATCACTTCGTAAATCATCCCTTTCATTCTTGCTACTATTGTTCAC